CGCGGTAAACATGATACAAATATTCTTACGGCAGGGCGGTCTTTCGCTATCAGCAGAAAAATCAGAATTACTTCTATACCGCCCGAAAACAAGGCGCGCAGAGACGCATACGTGGGATCAATGTCCTGACGGCGGATGGTACCCATCCCCACGGCGGACCAAGTTCGCATACTAGGCATGGTGATTCAGGCCAACGGCCATAATGACGTCAATATTTCTCATATTTCCAGCAAGGCCGTAGCAATGGCTAAATTAATTAACAGAGTAGCTAACAGGCGTGGTGGACTAACTGAGGAGAATCTCCGCAGACTGTTTCACGCTTTCCTCATGAGCCACATCAACTATGTGGCTCCCGCCCACCTGTGGCAAAAAGGAGACATACGCCGTCTCGACGTGATCATCCGCCGGTCCGTAAACAGGTGCTCGGGTTACCTGGCAGCACCCATACGGTCAGCTCAATGAGCTAGGCATTCATAACACATTCAGTGAAATCGTAGAAGCTCAAAAAGTATCTCGAATTGTAAGGCTGTCTTCCATTGCAGCTGGGCGACGGTTACTAGCCCACCTTGGGCTCAAATCTCCCGTATCCCAAGAATGTCCGTAGCAGCTCTCCGAAGACCTGCGCGCAAAATTAACAGTGTGGTCGATACCCCGTAACATGCATCCCACACATAACGTTGGTAGACGTCAGGCACGGGCGCGAGCCCTACTCAGTACCGCAGCCGCTGTGGAGGATAACGTGGCCTTCGTAGACGCAGCGAAGTACAGCTCTACGGACCACTTTGTCTCGGTGGCTACAACACTCAAAGGCGAACACTTGTCGTCTGTGACTTTAATAACTTCAAACGCTGATCGCGCTGAGTAGGTCGCTGTGGCACTAGCTCTCGCTGCCACCGATCGCACCGCCATTTACACGGATTCGCGCGCAGCCGCACGGGCCTTCATGACGGGCTCAGTTTGTCGGGAAGCCGCGCGCGTTCTCTGCTGCCAATTGGCCAGGCAAAAAGCACATAATCTGGTTCCCGGCACACGCTGGCCGACACGTACACAGAACCATCCTTAATGCCAACGAGTTGGCTCACTCCCGGGCGCGAGGTCTCACATTCCACGCCGGGGAGAACCTCTCGAAGGCTGAGGACGTCACTTGTTTCTTCAGAGACCCGTTGCTAACTTTTAATGAAATTTGCAAACACTACCAGTTGGAGAGGCGGAAATACCCACTCCACACCACACTTAACAAGACCTCAGTCCATAACTCTACGACTCTTACAGACGGAGGCGTATGCATCGCCTCTAACTTGCTCTAAATACATAGCTGGCATAGATCCGGGACGCCCACGCTGTGGTCATCCCAAATGTACTGTCCAACACATGCTGTGGCAATGCCCTGCGTTGCGCGAGAGCAGCGAGTCTTCCTCTACGGAGGCGGACTGGACCTGTCTCCTCACAAGCCATGACAAAGGAGACCAGCTTAGGGCCATCCAGAGGGCCCACGACATAGCCGTGGAGTTTAACCTACCCGTCCAGTCGTGGGAGTGGCCCACCGATGTTGCCCCCTAAGGGGGATGAGCACCGCCTCCGGATATTAATAAAGTTCTTTGCCTGCCTGCCTGCCTGCCTGCCTGCCTGCTGCCTGCCTGCTGCCTGCCTGCCTGCCTGCCTGCCTGATTGCCTGCCTGCCTGATTGCGGTAAGACAAAGCTGAAGACTCTCATGTTGTTGGAGATAAGCAAGCTAATTCTGCCCCCACATTTTATCCATTCCATCATACATCCGAATGTAGCACGAAATACTCCTCGGAACATTAAGAGAAGCCTGATGAAAGTTGGTGAGCAGTGAATTTGAAGGGAGCCAATGCGCTGACAATGTGCCCCACTTTGGTGGTTTAGTGGTTATTATAAGGTACTCGGCTGCTTACCCGAAAGCTCCCGGATCAAGCGCCGGCAGCGGCGGCTGCATTTCCGGTGGAGGTGAAAATGCTGAAGGCCTGTGTGGTCAGATGTAGGTGCACGTTAGGGAACCCCAGGTGGTCAATATTTGTGGAGCACTCCCCTACGGCATCTCTTATAATAACATGGTGCTTTGGGGACAAAAAACCCCACATATCAAATTAGATAAAATGCTATCACCCTTTCAAAACGTTGGTTCCTATGGTGCGCATTGTTCAACCTCGTTCGTGTTCTATGCGTAACACTGGCCACATCGTATTTCCAAGTTTTAGAGATATTTTCATCAATGATAAACTTCAAAGAAGGCTTGTTTTGTAGGTAACTAAAATGCATAAAAGCAGACATTTTTCGGCAATGTACAACTGTTGTCTGAACAGTTCCGGCGCATTTGTTTAGAGAAATTCACTGGGCAAACATATGCTTAGAATCTTCATTTTGTGTGTGACGAGTTTGATAGCTTCATGAGCCTTATAATGACTGAAACCATTGACATGTGAATATGTACAGTTAGCGGGCGTTCTGTACTTCGTGTCATTGCTAAAGACAGATAATGGCTATCAAAAGCCGCTGATACAGAAGTGACTGACAACAGCATAAAAAGAGAAACTGGTAAAAAAATTTAGGAAGCGTACGTTAACTCTTCACAAAGTCATTCAACTTGAAGATAAGTCAACACAATTGGAATCCGATGCACTCAATCACACTGCTAATCGCGAGAAGAATACATGGTCTCCGAGCGACACCCCCTTTGGGTCACGGCCATTCGTGCAAATATAGTCATTGTTTGGGTTTTTATTTGATTGAGCGGGGTGTAGGTAATGTTGTAGGGTAGGTAACACCACGTCTGTGTTTGCTACAGGCCGACTGCAAACGAGTGAGTGAGTGAGTGAATGAATGAGTGATTGATTGAGTGAGTGAGTGAGTGAGTGAGTGAGTGAGTGAGTGAGTGAGTGAGTGAGTGAGTGAGTGGATGAGTAAGAGAGCGAACGAGTGAGCTTTCTTTTGTATATTCGAGCTGTTTGGAACAAACGAGCAAGCACTGCCCAATCGTTAAAATAAAAAAAGACGTTTCGGTTTCATTACGGAGGCTTTTTCGGAAACAAACTTTGTAAACGGGGCTCCCGTAGTTGGACCGAGCTGTATTTTTTATTTTATTAATTGGTCGGCACTTTCGCCAACCATTTTTCGCCATGGATCTTTCTGTTCAAACAGGTTTTTGTGAAACCGTGGATTTCATTTCGCAGTGCAAGCTGGTTATTCATGAAAATGAGCACCACCTCACACTCCTGATTGCTGCAGAGTTGGACTGATGGCCTGGTACTCTTTACCAGTCGTACCTAGTTTCGAGGCTACGGTATTGTATATGGTCTACCTTGTGCTGTTGACCGGTCTTGCGTGGGTTCTGTTATGGGCGCTGTATTCTCGCTGTATTCCCAGACCATTACACAGAGGGTTCATAGCTTGTTGCAGAATTTGCAGCCTGTTGCAAAAATTCTGGGACGCATTACTTAAATAGGTGAAGGTAATCGTGTGTATGACGTCGGCGTAGTATCACGGATTCTGCTTTGCTACGTGGTGCTTGGTATTCCCACCAGGACTTATTCTTGCATTTTTTTATAACGTAAGTGCGCGAAAAAAATGTCAGAACATACGCCAATTTGGACAAGTGATAGGATGCACGCAGGCATGTTTTTGCTTCTTCTTTAACTTGCCGAAACATTGCTTCAAAAATCACTCCTTTTTAGTGAAGCTAATGACGATCAAATTATTAACGTTAAAACACAGACGCTGTTGCCGACAACCACATGTTTAGCAAGTAACGTGAGCGCGTAATAACGCAGCTTTATTCTTTTGTCCAGTTTAAAGTAAAATACGTGACATGTCATTTACGCCTCTTTTGGTTATATGCTTCCCTCTACTAGTAAAATGGGAACCGAAACTGAAAGAAAAAAGTTTCATTTTATTTAAAACGACCCAGTATGAGAAGCAGTCGTCCATCACAGGAAGGAGTGTTCCTGTGTCTGAAGCACGGGCTGAGAAACTTGTCTGTACAACAATCATAAAAAAACTGTTCTTGCATTCATACTTTCATATTCTCGTCATCTTCATAACTGACTAGACAATATTATATGTACGTAGCTCGCCGATATTTCACACTCACTGAATTATTACCTGGCACTGAAAAAAAAGAAGTAGTGTGCTTATGAAAACGTCCATACGCATTTCATTGAGTCCGAAATATCACAATTGCCCATGGGCAGTATATTCTTCGGGACGCATCGAAACAAACAAGAAGCAACCACGGAGGAATATTGAATGGTTCAACGCAAGTGTATCACAAATGTGGGTGGCCAGCATTTTTTGTGGAGTCCGAAACACTTTGCAGATGTTTACCAAAGAGAGAGGAAACACGTCCTTTCTGGATGGTTGCGAAGTTGGCCGAAAGCTGTTGCACATAAGGTGTGGTGCAAATGATGTCAGAGTGTTGGACAAAGGCTAACGCTTGCTAACCTTGCTTCCTGCACAGTGACTTTTTCGGGGCACTTGCCATGCTGTGAGAAACCCTTTTAGAAACCTTATTTCAGTAGTGAGAGGGGAAAATAGTCTTTTTTAACTACTGCACGGCTGCTCGAAGCCTGTTGTACAAAGGCTGCTGCTAAAATGATATCGAATTGTTGCACAAAGACTGCTGCACAAAGGCTGTTGCACAAATGAAGTTTTACGGTCGTACAAAGGCTGACGCATGCTGACATCGCTGCCTCCGCACTGCATTTCTTGGGTGTACCCACCATTATTTAGTGCACGGTGCACTTACTGTGCTGGCAGGAACTGGCCTACAAACTTTCTTTAACGGAGAAATATACCACGTTTTGTGTGCTTTTCACGGTCACAGAAAGAATGCTGCACACAAATGTTGGACTGTTCCACAAAAGCTCCCATTGCTGTCCACCCTTGAACAGGCGAAAGGAGGATTTATGAAGATGTGCGCAGGTTTCATCAAAGCACAGATACTGTAATCTTATTCGGGTAATATGTGTCGAGCCCCTCAAGCTCAGCCACGAACGCAGTAAGATCTCCATACTAAAGCCTTCGTCGTCGGGCGAAGCTTTTGTCTGCTCCTTCTTTCCTCCCGCAGCTCAGAAAGTCGAGCTTTCAGCATGGACCAACTAGTCTGCGAAGTATTGTTGTACGTGTGTTCGCTGTCCTGCTCGGTTGATTCCTCTGTTTCGGCCGACGATTCACTGCCTCCACCACAGCCAGCCACGTAGTGCGCCGGAAGGTCAGCGTGTAGAACGTTCTCTCTGCACCTCGGGCACGCCACGGTGTGAAAGGTGCACTGCTCTTCGCAGTGCACGAGGACTTCTTGCAGAGTCCCCACATACTCACAACCATTTTCTTGGTTCCAGCAGTACGCCTAGGAAACAAAACAAAAAAAGCAACGATTATCGACTAAATAATTGGACTGGGTCAAGACATTCAGTTGAATGAATAATGACGCTGTTTTTGTAAAATAATAGCTGATAATCAAGATAAGCGTTCAGCGAACTGGGAGCGTCGGGTAATTCACACAAAACGCAAAGAGGCACACAGCACGAGAACTAACAACTGGCGATTATGAACTACCAAATAGCTCATCTTTTTGTCCTGTTGCAGCCAAGATAAGCCATCGTTTAGCCATCCTAAGCCAACTACAGCGGAATTTTCATCCTCGTTAGCTAATCCTAAAAGACTTCAAATCATTTTTAGCAAGCACAAGGGAGCCCTAGAAGACACTAGTCATAATTATTCAACATTAGCGTGTCAGTTGTGCGCGCTAATGAGTGCTGGCACCACGCGCGCAAATACGGTTGCTGAAGTCGTGTGACACAGTGGCACACTCTTTGGACAGCACTACGCTTGTGGTCAATCCATATTTCTTATTCTTTCTTGTGGGATATTGAGGGAACTTGTGTTTCAGGCACTGTCAACTTCATTAACTAATAATAATAATAATAATAATAATAATAATAATAATAATAATAATAAAGAAGAAGAATATAATAAAAGGTGTAATGTGCCAAAACCACAATATGAGTATGAGGCGCACCGCAGTGAGAGCTCCGTAAATGTTTACCATGTAGTCTTTACCATGCACTGGCCTCTCAAATAACACCTGCTTTTAGAATTTTGTTGACATGAAAATGCGGCCATGGCAGCCAGGATCACACCCGCAACTTTCGGTTCAGCAGCTTAACACCATAATGGCCGCATCACGCAAGCGTACAAACATGACACCCAGTTATTAGTAAATCTTTAGATTAGATCAGGAAACTTACTAAATTAATTCATAATTTCCTTAAAATTAGGCACCCCTGGCAGACATTAGCCCTTTTTCACTCACAGTGCGCAAACCTGAAGGTCCTAGCTACAGCTTAGTCAACACCTAGCTTCGACTAACGAGTGTTGGTGATATGCGCGTAAGCACGTTAGTTCGCCGCATGACTTCGTGAAGCGCTCTGTCACGCTGCACTCTTTTCGAGATCGGCCCACAATCCTTCAAGTTTTCTTTGTTTTTGTTAAAAAATTGCACGTTGGTTATTATAACTATTATCATACCGCAATGAAATTGCAAGAAATTATCTTACCCCAATGAAAATTGCAAGTACACATAATACAGCCAGTAAGTGGTATGTGTCCTTGGTTCTCGTTAGGCGAGTACACGTTGGTACCACCCAGAATCGGCGGATATCCTCGTAGCCTGCAATTTTTTTTTTTTTTTCAGCAGGGCCTTAAGTGTGAGGCCCACAGGACGTCTTCATGCTATCCCATAGTGGTGTATCTAATACTCTAATTCATGAACAACTTTTTTCTAAACACACTAAACTGAAGAAGAAGAATGCTTTATTTTTTAATCAAATTGCTTACGGACAGCCTAGTGTTTTCCTGTAGTATAGTATATATATAGTGCTCGATATCATCAATCATTTTTCTGAAATACATGCGTATGCGTGGATTTAATCCATGCACTTTATATGACCCGTTACCTTGTGTTCACTATACTACTTCGTAAAGGGTCACTAAAAGAGAGAAATCATTTTTCACGCACCTGCAGTACTTTTTCACTATTCGAAAAATCTCAAGCTTGGCACGACGAGATGCTCAGCAAGTCGAAACACGGCTCAAAGAGAAAGCCCTTCCTATTTTGAACTTCTCGCACCAAAGGACACGACGTGATAATTTTTGCCGGCGTCTACTATGACCTACGTAGCATATAATACACAAAAAAATGAAGTGCACTGGTCTCTGAGGGTGCCATAGACTTAGCATAGCACCTTTCGAGAAATTTGTTGAGTCACTTTTGCCGAAATCCAAAAAATACAGTACAAATCAGTGGCATCACGTGAGGACATTTCCGGAGAAAAACTTAAAATGAAACATTACCTTGATTATTAACGAACTTAAGATTGTGAAATTTACAACAGTAAAGCTCTGAGAGTGAAGTTTATGAATCTAAACCCATGTAGTATTATTTTTGTAGCATCCCCCTACACCAAACTTATGAGAGCGTTGTGTTCTACAGAACGATGTTCATCGTAGACTGATGTGTGTGTGTGGCGCCGCTGACCATTGTTGTCAAGAAAATAAAAACATAACTGAATGGGGGTGAAAACACGGTACTCACCCTGAAGCTATTCAACTTCGTCGCGGAAAGCCTAATCCTGGCGCACTGGTGCACTTCGAACGGATCCTCATCCAAGGGACACACTCCTCTGCCATCACTGCCGTCGTCTTCCGTAATGCTGCCCCTGTAACACGACTGGCACAACACGTGAGAGCAGGGAAGCAACACCGTCTTCCTCGGAATCACGTTGCAGAGGCCGCACGAGTGGTAGTACGGCACACCGTCCACGAATCGCGTCGGTCTCCAGTTGACGCCGTGCACGTGATGACGAACGCGGTGCAAGGGCGGCTCCCCGTCGGCCATCGGTGTCTCTTCGCAGCCGAGTCGGTGTTGTCTTGAAACCACACGAGAAGTGGTGTTGATGACGTTGTCAGAAGCGAAAGCAGCCAATCTAATCTAACCTGCCCTGGCCTAACCTAACCTAATGCGACGTTACTAGCTTTTGCGCCAAGAGGTCGCAACGTCTGTGCATATGCTATGAACGTATGGCAGCCGACGACATTTGCGACTACGGGCGCTAGTGTTTCCTTATTTCAGCTTCCACAGCAACGGCCTGTAAACAATAAAAAAACCACGGTCTGACTTGTTCTCCACTCACTTCTGCTTTCACGACCTCACTCCGGCAACATAAACTGAATTAGCGCGTCAGTGTCCGTTGGCTCTCAACGCCCTTGCCGCAGCAGTGATAAGGAGAGAGGCGAACCACGATAAGATAGCGCTATTAGTCCCATGAAAATATCTCTTCTGGAGCTAAATGCGGTTGAAAAAAGACGTTTTCAGCAGCAGCTGGTCACTCCCAGTTAATGTTCCGTCGCAACAGCAACGTGAAAGCAAGATAGGTCCGTAGTAGTCAACTCACTTCCACATCCACACTTTCACTCGTCGAACCTCAAACTCAGTTGACTTTACCGCTGGCTCTCCATTGCCGGTACTGCAGTTGCACATGAAACGAGAAGTGAACCGCGATAAGAAAACGCTCGTAGACGAATGCAAATGCTGCAAGCTCACCCGTCTGAAGCCAAAAGCGGCTGCAAAGCGATGTCGGGGAGCGTGTTTTCGTTTCGTGCTGTTGTGAATTTGTTTTTGTGCCTGGCCCTGAGACTCCCACGTGGTCGGGAGAGGCCACGCGAGTGAAAAATAAATGCGCCAAGGGGCGCGCCGGTGGGTTAGTACGATGTCAACAAACCCGCTCCGAGGGTGCGGGGGAAATACCGAGAGAGGAAAGTAGAGGCTCGCCGCGTTCGTGTGGGGCCTGGTTGTGAGTCAGACGGAGGTTGCACCGGCAGTAGTGAAACCTGAATGTTTACGAACGCGCCTCTGAACCGTTCGAAGCTGCGGAAACACGGAGCATTCTTGTTTTCACCATTCGTATCCTCTTGAGCCTTAACCAGCGCGGGGCGTTATATTTCAGAAAGATGAGCAAGGGGAAACGGAAGAAGTTAATTACAGAAAAAAAAATACATGTGACCCGAGGCAGTAGAAAAGTCGAGGCGTTTCTTTTTGCCTCCTTTCGTTTAGTCAGCTTTTGGTTAGAAAGAGGGGTTAACGATTAGGAGCACTTAGACCTACTATGGGAGAGCATATAGCCGTCCCGTGGGCCTAATTGGATTTATCTATACTCAATGGTTTTGATCCCCGCCTTCACTCAACAATGAAGATATATAAACATACACGTTCCACGACCTATGCGGATGGAATCGTCAGTGAACAAATGACACGATTAGTGCACTGATGAATCCACCCGCGTAAGTGGCGAAACGTCAATGTTTTGTTATTTTTAACGTTGAGTAACGCCACTAACCAAAAACATTGAACATGAATGAACCTGGCTTTGGAAACATTTTTTTTTGTTAATCTATTTCCCGCACATTGTGCAAGCTAAACCAATAATTATGAGAACAGACTGCTAAATCTCACCAGGTCATCTATGGATTTGCCGGAGTCAACTCGAATGCAAAAGCCGCTTTCGCTTTCTTTCTTTGTCGATTTATTCATTCTTCCTGCCTCACCTCCCTGTGATATCTTTCTCCGCCTAATGTGGTTCCGAACGGCCTTCGTCATCGACTCGCATTCGACAAAACGGCGATGTCATGCAACGTACGTCATGATGGGGTCACACATTTTGGGGATCTGTGATGTCACGGTAACGTCATCGTGTTGATATCTCACATAAATCACGCTGACGACAGTGACATCAGCGGTCAAGTTTGACGATAGATTTTAGGCTTTAGACTGAATAAACGCTGGCAGTCTAAAAAAAAGGGGGGGGGGGGGGGGAGTGATTCCTTAATGAGAAAAAGAAGATAAAAGTGAGTCCCGTAACTATCTGCATCTGAGTGCGACACCTCAGCAGGGGCTCACGAGAGATGGGGGTAAGGAGGGATTCAATGAAATAGGGATAGAGATGAGGACACCCACATACAGAAGTAATGGTAAGATAGAGAAAGATGAGGACACGGTTGCAGGAGTCCGAGGACGGGGTACCACTCAGCAAGCTAGAGCTTCACGGCGTCAGGAGATGGAGCAGTGTGAGCCGGTCGGCTAGAGCCTGTCTCGAAAGCAGCCTATTTGCATTCCGATTAGTTCTTAGAAATTTAGGTTGCAGCTATGGCTCCTTTGCACCGATTTCGCAACATTTATAAACCTAAAAGGGGGGGGGGGGAGAGGCAGTAAAAAGTACGCGGCTATTTGGTAAATTTTTTGTCAGCTTCATGTTTTCTCAATTGTCACCAATTTAGCACTATCCCGTGATGCCGCAGGCCCTGGGATTCTAGTATGTGGCATGCATACACGGATACCAATGATTCTTTCCACCTGCCAAAATCTGATTATGCGGTTACACTACACAAAAGGCAATACATTTGGATTCGGGGAAATACTATCGAATGAAACCTCATTTCGCAGACCACCTGTAGCTGAACGCTGCCTTGAATTGTAATTGGAAGTAAACAGAACGAAGGAAAGAGCACCGTTTGCGGAAAGCTCACCACTCGTCGACATTAGAAATAGGATGTCACCGTCGCGGTCACCCTGCGGACTTACAAGTGTAGATAAGAGGACTTTCTCACCAATCCTTGTTGAACTTAATGCATGGGTGTAGCTTGTTTATTTATGTGTGATAAACCCGTGTCTTTTTTTCTGTATGTTTGTTATGCCAAAGGGCAATCTTTCGAATAAAAAAAAGGATGTCTGACGATCTCCTTGTTTCCTTTCTCATCATTAGGCATGGACTGAGGTTCGAGAATAATAATCACTCATAATTTTTCTCTTATTGAACAACAAGGGCTGGTTTGAGACTATCTTCTGCTGGCCAGAAAGAATAGCTTATAGTCAAACGCCTTTGCTTTACATTCAGAGCTGATTGCTGTTAAAACGAAAAACAATACATTCAGAAAAAGTTTTTTTTTTTTTTCAAAAACAACATCATGAAGACGTCCTACGAAATTATAAATGCTCCACTGCGTCTCTATTTTCTTTCTAACTGTTTTTGATGCAGCAAATCACCACCGGTTTTTTTAATGCGAGATTTTTATCAAAATGGCTGGGTCGTTAACGCCACTCCGAACGTCTCTACCATTTATAACACGAGTTATGTGAAACGCCCAGGGCTTTACATGCAATTAAAACCAAGGAATAAAAAACATTATTTACCGCAACTGGCTGATACCAAATATATGTGGCTTGCTATCATGCGGAGCTCATACGGGTATTTTTGTGCCGCTTTTAATTTGTTCCTAGTGAGTTCTTCAAAATTTGTAATGATCCCCTTAGGGAGACCACTATATATATATACTATACTATATATATATATATATATATATATATATGGGAAACAAGTGTATAGTTAAAGCCTCGTTTTTTCGTGCTTTAACACAACAATATTGAGATCTAACAGACAACATTGCCAAGGAAAGTGTAAGGTAAGCTATCAGACTCAATTGTATTGCAAATTTGAAGAACGAAAAGTAGTTGAAAAGGGGTGATTCGACGAGCGATCGACACATGTCCAAAAGTTGATATTTTAGATTTCATTGAGTATTTTATATTGCGTGCACCTCTCACCAGGTAGCTCGAAAGTCAACTTCGTTTTATTATTAACGGCATAACTTACGAGAAAAAAAATATCATACGTCACCAACACGCAGGCACCAATTTCGTTACTTGTCATTTTCGAAAATTGCAGATGCTATAAAAAGACAAATATTTTTGTTTGAAGGAAGATATTTTTTACCTTAAATGCATATCTAATGAAGAATGAATTCATATGGTTTTAAGTTTGTAGACTATAAGAAAATAGCTTTTAAGAATGTCTAATTTTGTGAGTGTTTAAACTAAGTTACGTATCTCCCATTTTTTTTCTCCGAAATTAATGCAAGTAGCGTTTTCAAACCTGACACGTTTTAAGGATATAGTGTGTTCATTAGGTACGTAAATTATTGCTGCCGTAGGGCAAATGTAAATTTTTATATATTGCCTCAAATTTCTCATATTAGCAAAAGTGTACTCCACTGAAATTTGAATAATAAAAAAACCCCATCTTCGATTTTTCTTAAAATCTCGTAAATAGACAACCGAAGGCCATCATACAGTAATATAGAAAACGTGTTGCGTTATTTTGTTTTTAGCGACAATATTTGTGGTACAAATTAGAGCTTTTCGAGAATGTGCTGATAAGGTGAGAAATCTAGAAATCGGAACGGAAAAGCGGCAATGAGCTTCAAACGTGAGTAAACGTGACCGCATTTGGTGAAGAAAGGCTGTTTTAGCAGATAGGAGTAACTATTTTGAACACGATATTCTACAGTATCTGAACTCACTCTTAACGTAGAGCACTGAGACTTCTAATATGTGGTGCCTCTCCATTACTGACACACAGATGGAGCTGCTGTGACGGCCATGTGTTTGCAACACGTTGGGTAAGAGAATGGAATGCTGAATGAGTTCATAAACGATTCATAACAAATTTTCATCATTTGGGGCACGAAGACTGCCGCATTAGACTGAAGAACACGCTTTAGGGCAAGTTGTCATCCGTCATCTGCTCTACAGATGAATTGCTGTGCGCCGCATCTCGGAGGCAATGCTTTAGATCATATGGTTCAAAGTAGGGACAAAGATTACGCCTCCCGTTATTTTATCGACAAAAACATTATGAAAATCATTTTAACGTACTATACTTCAGTTTTGCATTCGCACTGTGGATACTAAATTGAAACGGAAACTCGCAAGTCCGATTCACCGCAGTCATCTTATGTGTGGCGTACACCAGACGTTACGCACATATCATCGGTCACAGTGACACCAGTCCTAATTGTGAACACTGTGATGTGCCAGAAATAGTTGAGCACATATTTTGTGACTGCCCAGCATACGCACGTGAATGACATACACTCATTTCTTCTACTGAACAATATCGCAGTAGGTCATTAACTAATGAGACCGTGTTGGGCCCTTGGTCAGACGCCAACAATGTAACTGTGGTCACAATAGCGGTTATAACCTTTTTGGAAGCAACTGGATCATATGCGCAGGTATAAAATTTTTCTCAGCTAGAAAGGATTCTACGTACTCACCTCTCTATCTCACCCTCGTCATCCATTAGTCCTTCTCCCCATCTCCCCGTGTAGAGTAGCAGGATAGAGCAAGCTATCAGTCAGACCGACTTCTCTGCCTTTCTGTAAATAAACCTGTCTCTCTCTCTCTCTTTCTCTCTCTCTCAATACATTCACGGCCAGCTTAAATAGCTGCACTGTAAAAAACAGAAATTGAAAACATGGGCACAGCACAGCGAAGTCACCGGCGTTTGTGGTTACACAATGTGTTGACATTGTTAAAACTGTTAAGAATAGAGTTTTAGTAAAAAATTTTGAATATCCGTTGACGTTGAACTAGCCAGGTGGCTCGGGGTCTCCCCTGCGTTTTCTTGGACCCAAGTAGAGTACACTCATTCTCATCATCAACATTATCATCATCATTACCATCATCATCATCATCATCGCAGTTTT